TGCCTCAGACCTAACATAGTCTGGATCTTATCATGAAAAGACAACAGGCCTGATGATTACGAAGATGAGTTTAGGATCTTATCTACACCTCCATTCAGAAAACCAGAGTCTGAAACTGTCTGCTATGAGCCCTCTTTGCCTCAGAGTTGTGAATCATTCTGAGATATGTCCCAAAACATTCCCACATGACACCAGGTGAGGTCCAAGGGAATAAGTAAAGATATTTTGTTTTAATTTTTATGARCAGGAGGGGGAAGAAAAAGCTGATGTATTTAATGATAGTAAATGCTAAACAAACTGCACAAAAGAGAGTGAGAAAAACAATAACTTACCTGCTTTTTTCTTCTCAGGGACAGCAGAAGTGCTCTGAAAAAAAAAAACAAGATGTAAATATTATTAGTATATTTTTATTCACTTTACAGTAATGAATTTTGTTTATTTTAAACAATGTTCAAGCATTGCACAGTAAAACCCAGCAATAGGTTAAAATGATTAATAATTTTGGTGAAAAGCTACATTTTTGTAATTCCACTAATGAATCAAACTGGTTATCACAACAAAATGTGACAAAATTATTATTGTCAATAAAGGCTATAGAAGACTGTTGGAAGTAAATGAGTCAAACAAATAAAGTGATGTAAAAAGAACTTAAAAAAAGAGACTTCAAAACTCCAAAAAYAGGTTCACATATTTTCCTAATGTGCGGACCGTTTAAATAAATGCTGAACTCACCACAAAGGTCTGAACAAATATTATATCATTAAAAGTCTGAGCACACAGCACACTTTCTATTGAGTCAGTGTTGTTTTAAGTCTAACCTGGGGCAGCCTGGAGAGAAATTACTGATAAAATCACAAAGCGTTTTACGACCGTTGGAGAGTCTCATTGTAACGTGCACAAAATATGTCCTTCTTTGGAATTGTTTGGGGTTTTGGGAAACACCACAGCATCATCAGAGGGTGTGCAGTAAAAAACAGGCCAGTTGTTTGGGATTTCAGTAGTAAAGCGTGTGTGTTTGAGCATGTTTGTGCACATGCGTGTGTGTGTGTCAGATGGAATGCAAAGGTCATTCTTGTCACTGACATTTGACCCCAGGGTCGCCCACAGCCTGACCTGTTTTAATCCACACTCTGTGATTACATTTTTTTTATATAATACACTTGCATAACCCCCTCCCCCTCCAAAAAAAAAAAAACCTATAAAAAAACAAACAAAAAAACCACTCATAACGTTATGAACAATTGTTAAAAAAATTAAAAACTTGTGGATTTTTTTCTTTTTGCTGCCTTTCTTGCCAAGAGACTGACTGAAGTTTGTTTTATACTTCGAGTAACACATCTTGTGCCCCCTGCTGAGTGACAAAAAAATCTGCTGTATTTTTCCCGACTGAGTGTAAACGGGCTGAAGAAGCTGCGGGCCATAAATTATCATAACTCCTCCCTCTGCCCTCTCACAGCTCATATATGGTAAGTAGGAAAACAACAATAATGACGGCTGAATATTGTGGGGTTTTTTCACTGAACAATCAGTGTTGTGTTGGGGGAAGAGTATGCCGAGAAAAACTTTTTTCTTTTGTTAATGGGGGTGATAGAATAAAGATGTGAACATCAGCTGCATGCTCACATTCAATAGGATTAAACCAGCTGTTCTTCTAGCTCTTTTAACAACAGGCTTCAGACAAAAATATCATTTTAATCAAAATAACAAGAGCAGCTCTGAGATAGTGCTGCTGGACCGCCGCTTGCTCCTCATAAATAAACACACCCACAAAGTTCTAACCAATCACACGCTCCGAGCCGCAAGGTCAGCGTCAAAGAGTTCTGACTGGGGTCAATGTACACGACGGCTATCACCGGAGAATAGCAGCGAGAGAGCAGATGGAAGTTACACAATTTTTTGTCACCCAGCAGAGGGAACAAGACATGTGACTCAAAGTATAAACCAGTCTTGACACCACTCACATATTTCTGTGGTAGATATAAAGTTATGACAAGCAGCCATTTGGCATGCGACACAAACAGCTAAAAAATAATGGAAAACATCACGCCTGCCTTTGTGCAACTGTAAGAAAAGTCACCTAAAGCAGCAAATCAAAACCGTCAAACATAAAATGACACATATGTCTTAGGCTCATAGAGTTTTTGGTGTTGAAAAAAAATCTGAGATTTAAACTGGTGGCTTATTGGTGTAAAACGATAAAACTAACCAATGTTTTCCAAGATATTTTTCACTGGAATTTAGGAATCATATCTTCAAATATTCAAACATTCCAATATAGTTCTGCTTTGTTTTTGCTCGTAATTATGAAAGGGATTCAGTTTTATTTATTTATTTATTTTTGGTGCCTGAAAACTTTATTGATAACTAACATTTCTGAAAAGTCTTTGGTAAGCAGCAGCATTTTTGTAGCACCTTTTCTTGATGTCTGCGTATGTTCTGTGCAGCGTGAGGCTGACCAGGCCAAGTCAAGTGTTCACTGGGGACATGTTGGCTTCAGAGCAGTGTCAGCTGCCTCATTTACTGCACACTAATTTAATGGAAGTGGGTTGTTTTGGGGCACAGGGGGATATGGTATGTGTTTGCCTCGCACATGTGTGAAGAGGCCTGCAAGCTTGGATAATCATCCACCATATGGTTATTATTTTCTGTACTGAAGCTGGCAGTTTTGTGAAGTAAATTTTCCCACAAATTGTTTTGTCATGGTACRGTTACTTTAACAATCTTATCTTTAGATCAGAAAAATACTTTTCWCTTCAATTTTTAACATTAAGTGCACATTAACTCTTCAAAACTTTTAAGAATTTGCAATATTGTTTTGAAGGTTATGTTGTTAAATATAGGAGTTTATGTCTTGACCATATTTAGTTGGAGCTATATGTAAATTTGGGATATTTTATGGACAAAAATACCACTATTCACTACCTTAGACTTKAAGACCATCATTTTGTTTTTTCATWATGGATAATGATGTGTGGTTGTACMGCGATGCCAGTGGCATGGGGCTATCGAAAAAAGCCAAGCAGTCCACCAAGCCCGTCCCAGCGCCTCTCATCCCCACCCCACCTCTGCAGCTGAAGTATGTGTGTGCATGTGTGGCCACCCATGGTCTGTGCTGGACAGGGATTAAAGGGCTTAAGCTAACCCAAACTTTTTTTTCTCCACCACTTAGTGCAAATGTCTAGATTGGTGCAAATGACTTCTGATCAGGAAAACCAGCATCTCCAGAACTGGATGTGTGATAGAGGCAAGAGAGTGAACCCTGCAAGGGTACGTGTACCTGAACCAGAAAACCTTGGAGGTGTTATCTGACGGTCATTTCTGTTTTTCTTTTCTTTTCTTTTTTGACCATTTTGAATGTGCTCTTTCTGTGTCCATTTACAAAGGAATTTTCTTCTCCATGCTCCATCAGCACGACTGCATATGTGCGGGGCAAACGTGGGAAACAATTTAAATTTCAGCCATCACCACGAGTAAAAGTTTAACCTTTTCCCACCTCACCTTGATACCAACTCCTAACACCCTCTACTCCCCCACCACCTACATTTTAATAGTCTCCACATGTCACACTTATTACATGTTAAAAGGAAAAGATGCAATGACACCATGGCTTAGTTTGATGATGTACTGGAACATTTCTTGAGGAGAAGGAATATTAGTTTCCAGATGTTGAACTTAACAGCAATTTGAAAAGAAAACAATTACTAAGAGTATTTTTTAAAGCTTAAAACATTTTACTTCTGTTACACCAATATGAAATCCATAGAAAAAAACACTTTCAGTTTTGTTAATACACACAGTGGGCTCGCTCAAACACTTAAAACTCTCCATCCAGACCATGACTCAATCACTGGACTGATTATTTCTAACTCAAGCTACAAGAAGACCACCGGTCCCTGCAACAACAAAACCAAAACTTGAACATTCATTTATTTATTCTCTGCACTTCTGACAAGCTTGGCTGAATGAACAAATTTACAGGTAAATTAACCAAAAGTAAAGTATGTCACCTGTTCCTGCTCACCGGGCCTGGACTGGTGGCTTAAGAGCTAGACTTAAAAAGGATAATCTTGCAAAAACAATGCTGGCTTGTGGTTTAGCTGCTGACATTTTGGGGAGAAAGCACAGAAGAACGGATTAGACTGTCCTCTGTCAAAAAGCTGAGTGATTCTAAGTTAGTTGTAGATGTACAACCAAGAATTACTTTTTAAAGAAGTCCCTAAAATCTGCCCAGGGAACCATGAGATGCTTTGCTAATAGACAGGCACAATTGATTCCAACAGGAAATGGTAAAAGTTTAAAAGCAGATCCTATACGATCATAGCCTGGTAAAAACCAGCCCCTTGTTCTTCGCTTTGATTCATACAGTGGGTCCGGACTTTGGCTATTGAAAAATGACTGCTTGCTTGAGGAGTATAATTTTAAAAGAGTTAGATTGATTTTACCCAATTCCTAATGTTTGGCCGTGATATAGTCCACCAGCTCAGCCGTAAGCTAACCGGAAATTGTGTGCGCTGTAAACAACCACCCCCTACGGAGAAGAGAGAAGTTCCAAGCCAAATGAGATGACTGTAAAAGGGCCCTGCAGGCTTTGTGAGACAAATTTAATTTAATTTGGAAGCCTTGTCAACATAGACCGAATGACTTTATTCACTTTCTCCACTGTCATTGCTAAACTACAGTACAGAAAATTATGATGTCGTTGTTCACAATTCCTCCTTCTGTTCGCTGATTGTCCCAGTTTAAATTCTACCAGAGAAATCCAAGTCAATGGGAGAAACCTCTGACGGAGCAGAGAAGGTGGATTAGAATCAAGCAGAACTGAGTAGGAAGGCAGGCTAACTCGATCAGTTAGACCTCTGAGTATGTGTTGAGGAATGATGCTCAGCTACTACCACACCAAGTTTGTGTTCAGTATTTCTACAGCCATTTTTCTGTTTGCTAAGCATGCTTGGTCATGACATCCACTTTGAATGGGGTTGACTATTTAAGTTAATCAGTTGTAGAGAGAGAGATTTATTAAAATCTGTTAAATGAGTCATGAAATATTTTGCTACTTGCACACATACAAACACAAACCTACACACACAGACGTATAAAAAATGTGAATGCAAACAATCTAAAACAAAAGTGCAAACAAATGCTCCAACTAAAAGTTACACTTGAAACTTTCATACCACACACCAGAATCAGGTCAGCTTTAATTGCACCTGGTTTATAGAGCATTCCTGTGCACTCGTGTTTGTGTTTTTGAGAGTATTCAGCTTGTTGTTGTGTTCTCTGATTTATTGCACTTCATTATCAGCGGGCTGCAGGGGTGTTTCCAGATGCTTGCATTTTCCAGGCATCCCTAAGATTTACAGTCAACA